GCCAAGTGTTAAAGGGTGCTTGTAGGGAAATCTGACAGATGATGAAGTCTGACTAAGATAACAAGATGGGAAGGCTCTCAACCCCTGTGCTCTGTTTTCACAGACTTAAGGAAATGTCTGTCTCCAAGACAGAAAAAGCCAGCTTTTATATGTTCAGCATTTTAAAGGTTTGAATTTTGATAATGGCTTGTTTTGTGCTGCACTGTGGATAAAAGATAACCATTATGTCTACCCTGCTTTAGTTTCCCCTGTAACTAAATCATTAGCTGATATGAAGAAATGTTCAACATTCTTATTACATTGTATTTGAAAGAGATTCATTTGTTAACTAAGTAGTTGATCAAACCATGGAAAAATGTCTGCTAAATAATTATGTCTTTCTTGTGATCTCCATGTTTGCTAGGATAGTAGGAGTAAAAATATATTTTAGCATTTTTAATCCATTTTGCAGTCATGATATTTTTGCTTATTCTAGTAGCAGCAAAGTAATTCTAGAAGGACAGTGACCTGGGAAATTCTATAGTTAGCATTTTGGGACCTTTATCTCAACAGCTTTTTAAAATGAAGATTAGAAAGAAATAATTAGACACTGGAATTAAATGTAACTTTCAAATGTTCTTGAAACCTAAAATAGCTGCCAAGGAAAGCAATGCTGAAGTTTGGGATTACAAGTTATTTAATGAAAGACAATAACTTACTACATCAGAAAAATGACCCCCTTGTGGTGCTGTGATCAAGAACTGATTTCTTCTTCTCGTTAGCAGCAGTAAGAATATCTTCTTGCCTGGTAAGAGAAGTGGTTCAGATCTCTGTTGTAGTGATTGTCTTTTCATGAGTAGGAGGATTCACTGAACTACAGAAATATACTCCTGCTGCTACTGACTTTCCTGTGGGGCCTCTCTTCAGCTTGGTTACTTGTATGAGATATTGTACTGTCCTGCTGTACAGAAATGTGAGGATAATTTGGGGTGATCATGTAGTATAGTGATGGAGAAGCCATATGGAGATACCCAATGGTTTGGGATGCAAAGTAGATTCTACCGGAGAAGCTTTATGTTGGGATCCCTTTTGCCTTGCATCTCATGCAGTTAGTTTCCCCAGAATGCTAAATGCATGCAAATTACTGCAATCTTGATTTGGCAGCATTCTGCATCTCCTTTTCACCAGTTGCCAACAAACCGATAAAACCAAGTTGAAAACTGTTTAACATTCAGAACACTACCACAAGTATGAAACAACAAACAGTACTGGACTTGAAAGATTCTCAGGAACAAAATTTTTCTATTGACAGTGCTTTACTCAATGTGGAGAAATCAGAATTGTTTTGTCAAGTTAATTATATGCTCCTAAGGAAAGCTCTTTCAGTTAGAACATGGTTTTCAGGAGCAATATTCTCAACAGTTTCCCTTGATCTCTCGTGCTACTTTTATAGCGGCATTAAATATCTCCTGTTGAAAAGCCCATAATACTTCAGCAGCTGCTCACTTTGAAATTAAAAGAATCCCTACTGACTTGGGATGGCATAAACATGTTTAAAAACTTTTTATTTATAAAAAAGACTGAAAGACCTCTGTTTGTCTCATTCTTCCCAAGTAGTGCTAGCCAAAAATATTTCAATGCAATGCTTTTCAGTCAGAGAATACTATTCCAAGGAAATTACACCATTTAGTGGAATTACATTCATTAGTGTCAAAATCATAGGAGAAACCAGCAGTAATAACGATGCATACACCGAGCACATTCCAGACAACAGCTTGCCGCAAGCTGTGTAGCCACCTGATAATTGTAAAAAACTGGGCCAGATCACACATCTGGATTAAGCATTATAACATGTGATAGCCTGGATGGTAGGTGATTACCTGCCTGGGAACCAAAGTGTCCAGGTGAAGTTCATAGTATTCTGCTCAAGAAAGAAAGAGGAAGGAAAGAGAAGCCCTCAATAAAACTCATTAAGTGATATGACTGACTCATTGTTTTAAAAGCCAGGTAGGGGAAAATTCAAGCCCACATTCAGATACCCATATATGGACACATTAAATTTAAATGATCAGGTATGAGATAAATGTATGGGTTTTCATTGAAGTCAGCTGATTATCTAATTCTCCATTCTTTTACACCCATAGAGGTGCCTGTTGTCACCTGAGATGCTGTAGGATATTCAAGACATCCACAGGTATGATAAATCTGATATAGGACCTACAGAACACCTGCACCCTGTTGGAACAGCTTGAGGCCGTGCATTTTTGATGAGCATTGCCATCAGTAGTTTTCAGTCAATACATGCAATGGAATTCTCAGAATCTAGTATTTAATCAAATGTATGTAGCTGCTCCAAGACAAGCTGGACAGCTCTCTGGAGTTGTGCTTGGTTGGTTGATTTGTTGTTTTTTAAGAATGAAATTGTGGTGATAAAGTGAACCAATACTTCTGTTTAGTAATACTGCTACTTTACAAAAATACTGTGTAGATGGTCGATACCTAAGCCTCCCTGTGGGAACTAGGTGAGACCAGAGCTTCGCTGGTTCTTCCTACCAGCCTGCTTGGGCAACAAAGGATTGAGTAAAATCATTGTCTTTACCACACAGGTTTGACAGAACAACACCCATTTCATTCAATTCAGTGCAGGCAGTTTCTATCTATGAGATCTGTCAGTAAAATACTGCCTTTATTTCCAGGATTTCCAGACATGCAGTGGGAAGGAGCATCATCATGAGCTCATCTTGAAGCATGCAAGACAAGAGGTTTTGCTTGCGTGGTCATATTTTGCCAAGGCCATTTAAAGTAGCATTGAGATGACTGACCTACAAAGACATTTGTGGACTAAGGAGAAAATAAAGCCAAAACTTACTATAGTACTAGCATAGGGTTTTACAGGAATGTGAAAATGTTTTGAAGAGAATTCCATGTTTATACAGTAAATTGAAGTACAGTCCAAGAAGGATGTGGGGAAAAAACTTTATTCTGCCTTTATGAATTATTGATTTTAGCTGGGCCAGAAAGTGACTGAGTGGAGAAGGGGAAACAGGAGAAGCATGTGTTTCACTGGGTAGGAAGGGAATAGGATGAACAGTTTGCAGCAGTCATATTGATTCCTGGCCTCCCCATCCTGCTGGTATTTCCTCTTCCCCCAGCATATTTCTCAAATCTTAAATAAATATTCTTCAGTGTAAGAAAATATTAGAAATCCAACCCTCTCCTTATTTTTTAGGCAAGTTATATTTGGAAAGTATAACTGGGAAAGATATTATAAGTCAGTTAGTCTCACTATGACCTGACCAAAATTTAGACACATTTGAAAACTCTGGGCTGAGAACACTAGATTTTGGAGAAATTATTGAGTTTTAAAATTAAAGCATGCTTCTCTCTTTTTTAGAAGGGACAACTGCAACGAGGAGAAAACTCTTCAGTGTTATCTAAACAGGGGTATTATCTAAAAAATCCAGTATTATCTAAACAAGAGCCGGTGGAGACCACTTCAAAAAGGTTATAAAAACAACATTAGGAAGACCAGGAAAGAGCAAGGATAAGCCAGAAAATATAGGAAAACTATTTCTAGGCAACACAGCCTTACAATTTACTAGAGCAAATAATGTTTGTAAAAGGAACAAGCTCTCTTGGACATACACTGACTTCAAGAATGACACATCTGTTGTAACACAGAAAGTCTTGCAGATCGCAGATGCATTTTGCTCATAGGTGCTGAATGGCTCCAAAATAAAGGAAAAAGTGTCACAAACAAAGGCATGGCAAAAATTGCTTGCTATGTTCTTCAGACTTGTATAGTTCTGAAATGGGTGGAGTTCCTAATTTCATGGCACATTTACTTAGGAAGAAAGCAAAATAACTGCTTTAACTGAACGCTGAAATCTGACAGTACCACGTAGAATGTTAACTTTCAAATAGCGAGGTGCTGCAGCATAAAACATCACTCATTCGGAATTAAAAATCTCTTAGCTCTATGTCTTCCAGTTCAGCCCACATATAACACAAATGGAACAGCTTTAGCTTCCCAAGAGGAACTGTCTGATATAATTGTAATTCAGCATGTTGGCATGTATACTGTCAACATCTGAGGCAATGCCAGACATAGTCACCTTAGGAGACTAGCAAAGAACAACCAGGAATGCAACTTCCTGATTTGAGGGCAGTCTAGCAATGGTGGGGTACAGTATAATTAAAATTAGAATCAGCAACAAATTAAATTCTGATCAGTAAAGACCATCCCTCTTCTGTACATGTTACATCAGACTGTCACTGACAGTAAGTCTTCTTTCCCATGAAAATAAACTCTGTTTTCTTTTCCTCAGCAGAATTCTGCTCCCATCTGCACAGAGCAGTCTAAACCCAGATATAGCACTTGGACAGTTTGTACCCTTGTGAGATATTCTGCATTTTATACAAATTAAGCATTGTCCTTGCTACTCTGGAACAGGATGAACCTCTTTTCCTATCTTGTTTCCTTTGTAGAGAAAGCACTAATCATGTAATTGTCATCTCTAGGTAGGACAAATGGTTTAAGTGATGAGTTCCTGCAAAATGTAGCAAAGCCTGAAGAAAATTAAATCTGTAATCATTCATCCAAGCTCATTATAAAACAAACAAACAAAACCAGTGACCTAATGAACACACACAAAAAAAAAGTCAAATTTCTGCAACAAAAATACAACAGTCTTGTTTGGCTTGATAACACAATGGCTCCCTCTGCAGGGTGACACATCTCATCTGGATATAAAATGGTCTTGCTATGGAACTGATGTGTATCTCAAGCTGTTTCCAATGGAAGCTGACAAATTCTCAGGATCAGTGAATCCCCTGTGTTCAGACGCAACTGTGTGTTATGTGCAGAATCAATGTATGATATATTAGATTGAAAGTAAGTGCTGTCTCATCGGAACATCATTCTCTCAAAAATTTTTGTATGTACCAGTTCTGTTCCCTTCCACACTGCTAAATCCATGACAACCTCACAAACCTCCTTGCAATAAAGCAGAGATATCAAATATGTTATGCTTCCCTCTTTACTTAGCAGAGTCCACACATATGAGGCCTTCTTTCATAAAAGAACAAAATATTGATGAAAGAATATAAAAACTGGTTAAAAATATACACAGAAAAAATAAGAATAGGGAAGGGATGACACTCAGAAAAACAACATTTAGTTACACTGAAAATTCTATTTCTAATAAAAAGAAATACATAGAAAAAGAAAGGAAGACATGGTTATCAAGTTTTATGATACTTCAAAACTTCAATGTAATTTCTATTACTGTTCATTGTCTTAGAGATTCTTCCTTTCAAGAAAGAGAATGAAATCTTGAAATCAGAGGACAGAGTTGAACAAACACTCCAGAAAGGAGATATGGTCAATCAAAAATGAAATTGAAAAATCACAAAAATTTGAAATTTAGTAACTACATCCAATTGTACTGAGTTGAAATGTGGTGAAGGGAAAAGGACCAAATCTTACCCACATTATTCACTTTGAAATCCCCAAAATCAGGAAAGAAAGTGAAACAAAGAGAGAGCAGAGAAACAGAAGAATTGAAATTGAAAAAAAAAAAAAAAATAGGAGGTGAAAACAAGAAAAGCCAGTGGGATGACCTGAAGTGCAGGAATATGGCCCGAAGCTTGCCCAATTGACCCTCATTGAAATCACAATATTTCATTCCCTTTCCTGCTTTATGCCAAGTCTGGTGCTAATAACATGCCTTCTCATATGTACCAAATACTAATTTAATTTCTTCTTCAGATTTAACATGTTACAAGTTTTTATTTTATATAAATCTGGTCTGAGGAGAGCAAGAAAGAGCATTCTTTATGTTTGAGGTGGATAGATGGAATACAGAGTGAGGTCAAAGCAGCAGGCAAGGCAACCTTGGGCACCTGGCAAGTGGAATCCAAAGGCTGCAGCACTTGCCTGCAGCAGAAGAAAATGGAGATCAGGTGTGGGCTTCTCCCTCCTGCTTGTCTTCCCAGCTTTGCTGCCACAGAAAGGGAGGGGGCATGCGCAAGTACCAGGCTAACCCCAAGGGGCTACCTACTGCCAATCCTAAGTAGCAGCAGGAACGGGCATTCCCATCCTCTGGGACAGTTCCAGCCTCATCCTCCTCCTTTTTTCCTTCATGAGAAACGACAACGCTCCTTAACTGTGGTGACATAGACTGACAAAATACCTGAATACAGATATTTTCAAACTGAGATGTTTGCATGTACGTCAAATATGAGCTTGCGAAATCTTCCACCACCATAGCCAGATTTTTCTCATCTCTCACCTCTGGATATTAGACAGGCAAATTCTGTTCTTGAGCTGAAGGTTGTTTATATAAGCCAAGAATAAATGTATTCTTAAAAGCTGCTCTTTCTGGGTGGTTTAGCACAGTATAGTGGTTGCATATCCATTTCACTTAGCTGATGCAGTATTCTAGCAAGAAACAGCAGCAGGAGAGCAATGTTATGCAGAGCACAAGCAAAAAGGGTGTCCTTGTGAATACTGATCTCCTGACTGATGTAATCACTGTGATAAAAAAAAAAGTCAATAGTATAAGGCCCAACTCTTCTGCATGAAGTTAGATACATTCAGCACAAATCTAGTTTCTTCCAGGAGCTGAAAAAGGAAGCAGGTCACACAGTTGTGGAGCAGATCTGTTGCCATCCAACAGTTTCTTGCCTCCATGGGATCCAGCACAGCAACAGAAGCCCCAGGTAAGTCCATGGGCACGGCTTCACAGGATTCATGACAGCCTCAAAACATAGGGTGAGAGGGGACCCCTTCCCCAGCATGAAGGAGATGCTGAAATGCCTCCCAGCTGTCCTGACACACCAGGTGCTGGGAGGCAACAAGTAAACTGAGGCTTCTGCATTTGCAGATTAAAAATGGCATTTTAGCTAAATCATTATATATTTTTTTCTATTAATGCACAAAATCAACAAAACATCCTTAAGAGAAATTAATTGGCTCTGAGGTTATCATGGTACTCACCACACCCATAATTTCCCTTTGCATGACAGGATCATGAACGCTCTTACCAACTAGTTTATTTTAAATCTTCATTAATTATATACCCTGCTTATCCCTTTGTCCTTCCCACTTTCTCCTTCTACTATTTCTTGGTCTGCAGTTCTGTTACTCAATAAACAACTAATTGTTCAAATGCTAATTCTAAGCATTGTCCATTGCCTGTAATAGGAGAGAAAGGTTCCAGCATCAGTCTTTCTTTTCACACTATTTAAATTTTCCTGTTGTGACAACACCAGAATAAACCAAATATGGATTTTTAATTTTTTAAAAAGATGATGAAACTGTGAATAACCTGATGCTACTCAAAAGACTGGCAGTTACAACACTTAAATTCTGTAGCAGGGTGTGATTTTTGAATCAGTGCTGCAGTAAGTACAGGAAAGTTATATTTAAAAGATGAGCAAATAGGACTGCAGCACACTAACTTCACAGAGCCACACTTACAAAGCCCGTGACAGGCTACAAGAAAAAGCTACCACCAACACTTCAAAAAACTTAGTTTAAGGCTGTTAATTCAGCCTACAGTTCCAGGGACACTGACACTCAAAAAGGCATTGCAAGGGCATCACAGCAGGGTGCTCACATTGCCAGCTCCACACTTTCTAATCTCTTAATGAAAATTCTTCACTTCATGAAAGGAAATGAAATCTCACTATTTCCATGAGTATCATGTCATGAAGTTTCAGTCATTCCATCCCATTTTTACTTCATTTCAGAATTTCATTTTTTTCACACTAACCTTTTAGCAATCTTGGGGCTGTAGCTGAGATGTCCATCCCCATTTATGGCCCTAATCTGCAAGGTGTGAAGGCAGCAATGTTTTGCCCTGTCATAATCATCTTGTCATGCATTTTCCAGCCCCAGTGTCCCTGAAGCTCTAGGCTCTTTTTCTCTCTTAACCCCAACTCTAGGCATAATAGCATCTTGTTGCTGGGGCTGGGGTTCTGATCACCATGGGAGGTCCAGATTAAAAAGATGTAGGAGCAGGATATTGGTGCCCTGCCAGGATTGCCTTGGCATGCCTTTTCCAGCCCCAGTTTTCCCAGAGCTGTATGCTCTGCAGCTCTCTGAACCCTAACCTGAACCCTAATGGCACCTTGTCACTGCTGCTGTGATCCCCATCACTGTGGCTGGCCCAGATTCCAAAAGTGAATAATGAGCAATCTCAGTACCCTGCTGTGATGAAATTTCTTCATTTTTTAAAAGGAAATGAAATCTCACCATTTCAGGGAAGTCATGAAGTTTTGGTTCATTTCAATGTACTTCATTCCATTCCAAAAATTTAACTTCTCCTAAGAATTTTTTTTTTCAATTTCATTTCACTTCCTTATTTTTCCTTTCATTGTATTCTCCCTTAACTTCATTTGCTGATTTCTTGTTTCACTTCCTTTCATTAAAGGAAATGAAATCTCGCTATTTCAATGAAAATCATTTTATGAAGTTTCAGCTCATTTCAATGCACTTCAAACAGAGCACCTATAATAAGAAATGTACAACAACTTCTAGTGTTCAGTTTTTGTATATTGTTACATGATTGTCAGTGTGGTAAATATGTTGAAATATGTTGTACATCAATAAAGAATCACACACTTATTGTTAATTTCTCAAATTTTACTTTCACAAATCTGAGCAGTGGGTAATTTCTCCTTCCAAATGCTCTACTTGATCTTAAGGCCAACTGAAACATTGAAATACTATTGTTTTCTCAAGTCTTACCACTTCCCTTCAAGCTGTATCAAACAAACTACAATATGAGATCACATCCTTGTTGGTGGGGAAAAAATATTTCTCTGAAAACAAAATTATATAAATAAGATCCATTTAATTATTCACTGAGGGCTCAATATACAGAAAACATTAAAATACCAAAAGTTCTGAATGGCAATCATAAAATATGCTTTAAGAAAATTCAGAGTAATGACATCCATCAACAATTTTAGCAGAGATTTCTGTACTGTGACCAAAAGTGAACTACTTGGAGAGCTTCTGAGGCTGAATCCCTTCAGTATTTCACAGCTTAAGAATGTGGTTGCCTTTGGCAGCCCCCAAACACTGCCACTGAAACCAGTCTCCAGCCTCAGCAATCTAGTGGCTGAAATTCTCATTCGCATGTCTCTTCAGCTCATCCCTGCAACGGCTTTACTTGGATGGCATTTACTTTTGTCTCATTGTGTTTACTGCTGTCCTCTATTTGCTCAGCATCATCACTGGTGATAATAAAAATGACAGAGGAAGAGCTGAAAGTCACTTTCTTCTTTGGCCTGTCCCCTGCTTTTTGAGACAAAACTATGGGTCGTATTGGTTTGTCACTCCCTGTTGCTGGTGTCTCTCTCATTGTCCTCTGGAACCTCATCAGGCGAAAGCACAGGAGTTGCAAAAGGCAGCGTCGAAACTGCAACACAGAATAAACAGAATTATGTTCAGCTTCCTAAACATTCACTGTCACCTACAAGCAACTGGAGAGCACAGTACAGTAAATGACTCAAAATAAGAGACTTCTGCATATCTTCTGAGTTAGTTTCATTCAGTAACAAAACATGCTGCCTTTGTAGTGGCTACTTTTTTTCACTACATCTGAATAGGATAACTGAGCCAACAGAGGGCACTGAAATGCAACTGAATATTTTACCAGCTACAAGCAAAAGACAACAGAACCAGGTTCCAAAGTGTGCTATAGGTTTTGTTTCCATATTCAAAAATCACACATTAGATCCAGCAGGGAAAGAATATTCTCACAAACACTTCACAGGAGGATACAGAGGGAAGGAACAAGGGGAGGAAGGGGATACAAAGGCATGTTTTCTTCCTTTTAAGAAACTCCAAGGTCTGGAATTTTAACAAAAGCATTTAATGTCACAGCTGTAAAATGAAATTTCAATGGTTAGTAACACAGAAGTAAAGTGTTCCCATTGAATATGGATGGAACAGAAGTCTTTCAGATAACCAGCAGCTATCTGTGACACAGGAAGTCTGTTCTACTGTGTGACTAAATGATGTAAGGTATTCAGTGAAAGCTCACACCAGCACGCAGAATGGAAATTTGAGTAGTAGCACTGTATTAATTTTCTAATTATGGTCTCCCCTTCAATAAAACAAAGATCCAGGTATGAGAGTTAAAGATGCATTCATTCAGTAGCTGCATGTCTGCACACATTTAAAGCTCAAACACAATCCTTTGGAGAAGAACCCTGGTTCTACAAGAAATAAGAAAGAACTTCCCCTTTGCTTAATAACCTGTAACCAGAATTGCCTGAAATGTATGAAGACGTCAATCAACCAACCAAAATACCAAAAAACCCCAAAACAAAAAGAACAAAAATCTCAAACTCAACAAACATCTGGGAGCAGGTGGGAAATAATGCACCTTTTCTCTGAAAAGGGGGTAGGACATCTCTTTTTAACAGCCTTCCTTTTAGCTGTGTTAAGGATTACTCTGTATTACCCTGCATGTCCAGTGCCTCTGTTTTCCCAGATATCATGCAAGAAGCAATCTTTCATGCCAAGCTAGAACAAGGTTTTGCTGTGAAAAATTAATCCTACTCTGACACAGAGAAGGCAATAGGTCTGTCCTGTTGGGAAAGAACCAAGCTAATTACAAGATCTCACAGAAGGATAATCTTGGAGAAAGAATGGTCATGGGGAAGCCCTGACAACTTCAGAGGTAATGGTCTACCTCAGAGTAGCAAAGAAGTTAGAAAGTACAAGGATGTTAGAATGAGTTCAGATTAAAGGAAGGCTATTATAGAGAACTTGTTTCAGGATTCCTTCTGAGGGTAAAATAATAAAAAAAGAAAACTAAGCAAAAATACTATCATTTTGGTCCGAATCTGGAATTAGAGGCAAGAGAAAAAGCTTCACAATGCATTTCCAATAAACGTGTTCAGATGATTGATACTTATCCTGGCTGTGTCTTCACTGGAATTATACCTGGTCCAAGTTTTATTTGCTGCTGGCTATCAGAACCCACAAAATGTTTTTCAGAAAAGATATTCAGCCTGACAACTATGTACAGAGTCAGTGCCAGTGTATTTAAAAAGTCACTCTGTTGAAAAAGCCTTTTAGAACATGACTGTTGTTAGTTTCCCATATCCAGGATAACTCTGATATTGTGTAACTGTGGGTCAGCCTGCTGTGAAACGAGCTGTGGGGAAGAACAAGATGCCACATTGGAGGCCTCTTGCTTTTACTCAGGAAAGCATTTAAGCTCCCCCTTGCCCTGAGTCCTGACCTGAGCTGCACTCAGCCTCTGCTTGGCTGCTCATGTGGCCGATCAGACCCACTGACTTGGCCTCCTCGTCCCTACAGGCTGCTGGCTGGCCCAGGCTGCTGCCTGGCAACTGCAAGCCAGTGCAGGAAATCACAGAAAATTCCATCTCTATAATGGGTTTAAAGGCAAGGAAAACTCAGAAAAACCCCTCCAGCAATCACTCATGGGTTTTTACCCTTTGTCAAGAGATTCTATTAAACTCCAGATATCTTTATACAGTCTTGATTTCAGAAGTTTCAGAATGTGCATGGTATACTTCCAGTACCAGTCCTTGTGCTGCTGTAACACAGAAGTTGGAAGCAAGTTTTTTTATTCTTAAAAAATAAGACATTGATTATTCTAAACTTCCTGTGGTGGAATTCTGCTGCAGTAAGGGAGTGATTCAGATGACATTTTCTAGTAGCAATCCATCCATGTCAAAACTAGAAATTTAAATTCTGACACTGTTTCCTGTCCCTTTTGTCAGTTAAATGTTTGAATTTACATAAAAGCAAATTAAATTTATGATCTGGTGGTATTTAATCACCATCAGGGATTTTATTTCTTCTAGATTGTTACCATGTATCCTAGCTGTTGAAATTTTTTATTTTTTTTTTCAGTGTATCAGACCTAAACTTCACAAGTGTAATACTGGCTACTAATAATTCAAATAAGAAAAACTTTAATGTACCTACCTTTCTACTCATGAAGATATAGATAACTGGATTATAAGCAGTACTTGACTTGGCAAAGAAAGATGGGATGATAGCTACTGTTGGAGTTACAAGGTTGCTGTAGCCATATGTTATCAAGAGGGAGACCACTGCATAGGGCATCCAACAAATAAGGAATGTGGAGATCATCAAGAAACACATTTTAGCCACCTTCTTTTCATATCTTAGAAGTTTGATCACTTGAACTGTCTGGAAATCTTCTACACAGCGAAGCTGTAGAGAAAAAAGAAATCATAAAATAAAATAGCTTTATGTTTTACTTGAACCTGAATAGTTTTACATTTATGTGTAAGTAACTGACTCGACCTCTTAGTTTAAGGCACAGACACCATACACCTTATATTTTAAACCAAAATTCTTCTTGAAGCTTACATCATGTTTCTCAGATTTTATTGCCTACATTAAGTGCAAAAATACAAGCTGAGAAAAAATAGAATAGCTAATCTACTATAAAACAACAAATCCAGAGATGTAACAAAGCATGCTGCAGTTATAAGTGCTTTAGAAAAATAACTTGCCCTCAGCTATTGCATAAGCAAATTCAGTTTACATTAGTGATCCTTTGTCTGACAGTTAGATAGTCCTGTAGATTCATGGAAAAAAATATTTAGGAAAAAAATTCATAGATTTCTCTGTAATGCTTTGTCACATATTATGTTACCCTACAATCATGAAATCTCTAAAGCAAAATACTAGGGAGCAGGCTCCCATGTTACCTAAGTCATAAAATAAGGAAAACATAGGACATGAACATACTCCACAAATTATCCATTCTCCCAATACTGTTGACCATAAACTTGAATGGGTCCGTTTGTCCTACTAAAGATTTGGACTGAATTTTCAGGTGAAGATCTGATGTGGATTAGTAAACACAAACCATTCCCTACTTCCTCCCAGTAAAACCACACAACAAATAGACCTCAGTAGCTCTAGGCTGGTTCTCTCCCAATCCTACAACCTATCTAGTGCTACCTGACACAGATGAATATCAAATATTCAAAAGTTTAAAAGGGGTGTGAGAGTGCAAATTTGGCTTGGATCCAACCTTAATATACATCTTCAACATTTTTCACTGATAACATTGCTTTAAGGGAAGTCTTATTTGAACTAACTTACCATTCTTACTGCATGCAGAATATGGCCATAGCAATAGGCCATGATCCCTACAGGTGCTACTAGACAGCCAAGGAAAAAAAGGAGCACAAAGGAGGTATCATTGGGGTCTTTTGACTTCCAGTCCACTGAGCAACCTAATCCATGAATTTCCAGTGTGTATCTGTTCCAGCCCAAAAGAGGTGCTCCTGTCCAGGCCAGTGAGTACAGCCAGATGTACGTGATAGCCCGCCAAGACCAAGAGAAGTCAATCACTTTTGCATGGACCACCCGAATGTAGCGTTCATAGGCAAGAGCAGTGAGAGTCATAATTGAAACAATTCCTGTAAAAGAAATAAAATCAATTAAATTATTCACAAATACTGTAAACTGGACTGCACTCCTCTTGATAAATGTTTCCTTTGCTAGCAGGTTAACTCAAAATTACCTAGCTCATATCATGAATCTAACACCACTAAGATTTTTTTGTGCATCACTCACTAACTACTAAGCCAAACAGAATCACCAGCTTCAAACTACTCAAGAAGGACATTGACATCTGATCCAGGATGTACAATGGCTAAGAAGTGGGACAAGGAAAGAGACTAAGCCAATACCTCTTCCTAAACATTACTTCATTCAGTGAGGTATCATAGTCCAAGGGTTGGGGGTTTTCCCACTGGTAGTTGTTGTAGGGTTTCTTGCTGTTATATGTTCTTTTGGGGTTTGTGGTTTCCTTTGGCTGTTTAGGTTTTTTAAAAGAAAAAGCTATCATATAAAACTGAGATAATCAGCAATAAAAAAAAATCTCTTCAAAACTTAGTGAATTGAGACTGAAATTAGACAAAACCTTCAGCACCTGAAAGCAGAGATATTCACCTTTAAAATTACTAGAAGAATTCCAATTTATTTCAAGATATCCTGGAAGTGTTTGCATTCCAAGAAGAACCAGGAAGGCAAAGCATTACATTGCTGAAGGTGTCCCATCTGAAAGACATTCAGTTATTTTGAGTGGTTCTTTCCTATCTTGCTGCTTTCACAAAAATAACTGTCCTTGTTTATTTATGCACTCTTTTCTGTGCACGTCAAACCTAGTATACAATTATTAACATGTTATGATAGAAATCATACATTATCTTCAGCTCTCAGTATTACCCTATCCAGACACTTTTAAAATTTCATGAAGCCAAGGCATTTCTGTCTTGATTAGAATATAAGGATTTCTACTTCAATGATCTATAAAACTTTATGAAAAAAACACAAATTGCCCATCAGGCAACTGCCAGACATCTGAAATCCGCTATGATTCAGTCATCAAGTTCATAAACACAGACTCTTAAACAACAAAAGGGTGTATTTCCCAGCATTCTGTAAGATTATACATATATCTGTGTCTAGATCTGTATAGATTTTATCTAATAGAAAACACAAGGGTTTTTTTCATGCATATGCACAGCACTTAATTTCTCCAAGTACATTCATATGTGTCATAAGCTCTAAGAAGCTTAATTGTGCAGATTTCACTACCAAGGAGAGAACAAGTATTTTATACTCAGCAAGAACCTGATATCACTTTGAAAAATGATAAACATTTATGGAAGATAAATTAACAACAGCACAGAAGGACCAGCAACATGGATTTTAGGAAGGCAATTAAGAATAACAAAATCTAGAGCAACACATAGCCTGTCTGTAAAGGCATTCAACAGCAAATGCAGTTTATTGTTAACCAAGTATCTCACTTGGTTAACCTTTAGGATTCTAAGGAAGTTACTTTATGCTGTAGTTATTAAAATATTCCCTTTTTATAAGCGGTGATCTTAGAATCTTTCTTGTTTAAAAGGATTTCCCACTCTAATAGAAAATGTGCCACACTCTTTCATAGATCTCTTTAAAATTAATTTTTTTTTAATGTGCTTTTTTTCTAGTTATCTTTAAATCTTCATCACAAAAAGATGGCTAAAATACAGATGTTCACAAGCAATTATTTCCTAAGTCTTCCTTGACATTCTCAAGGAACTTATTGAATGCTCAGTATCTCTAAAAATTAGTATGTGGACATTTGAACAATGTCCTATCAAAACCTTTTCAATATAAAACCACTGCTCTTCAAAGACATACTTGAATTTTCCTCCCTGAACTGTAAATGGGACTTCAGGCAGCCTGTTGGAGAGTATGCACCAAAATGCAAATCCCTGTTCTGTTGGTATTCAAGAAGTGTCTGGCAGCACACAGACTTTGAGGCAGGATGCAGGTCACAGCACAAGATGTATATGATTTATGCATGTGTATGGCTCCATTTTCTATGTTTCATTCAGTTTCTGTAGTCTAGTGCAGAGAAAAGCACTGAATTTTACTTCCCTCCCTGCCCCCACTCCTCTACCTTTTCTGGAAATTATTAAATTTCATCCTGAGTTGTGTATTTTAATATGATGAAATGCATGCTGATTAAAAAAGCAAATCTATTACAGAAAGCCATTATGGTTATTGTTTGGCAATTAGCCTCCTCTTAGCAAAAACACACATTTCAAACCAATTTCTACCTTTTATCTGAAACTAATTCTGTTATGCTTCTTGAGGTACTGGAGATCTACATATTTTGATTCAAGGCTAAGACCGAAGATTCTGAGAGTTGATTTACTCTACCTGCAATTCACTCTTTCTAAGTCTTTCAGAAAAAAGACTTTACTGCCCAGTGTTTACAGAGACTGCGTGTCTGATATACAGATTTTCATCTCAGACAATTCCCCTGTCTGCATGTGCTGATTATGAACATAAACACTCTGTGTTTAGGAACTGCCGCTAGTTTTAGCTCTGATCTAAGCCTGGGCAATTACCCTAGCACAAATGGGGTCATTCCCATTGAAGATGCAGATAAATGTAGCAAAACAGAAGTGTCTTCTTGTTTAAGCCACTAGTTTGCAATTTCTATGTTGCAAATCCTCTTCTTCCCCAGCAGCCAGCCACACAGAATCAGGGAGTTACTTTTTGTTACTTGGATGTTTATGAAGAAAATTCTCATTTTTGCCATTTTGTATTGTTTTCATACTTAAATACTGCATTTAGTGTAGATTTGATTATGTGCTAATTATATTAGATATATGTGCTAATTATCTCTTCTGTATTCTGGGCTTTTCCGGGAGACAGTTCTGGATACATCATTAAATACTTCAATCAGCATAGTGTAGATCATTACAGAGAACACTGCAAAACACAGCTAAGCTGTACTGCATTATACTATACAATGTGTATATTCTGGCTTTATAATCCTTAATTAGAAGAAAAATATTGCAGTGCCTTCATAATTGAAGTATTACTTTCAGTAAGTTTGAACAATCACAACAGCTTCTGCCTTCTCCATGCAAGATACACCTTATTTTCATACTGAACCCCTGCCCCAAGCATGACCTATAATTTGTTCAGAGATTATATCAAATATTCCCAAAGTCTGAGCATGTCTACAGAGCAACTGCAGCATAATGTAGCAAATAAGATCCATTTCTGAGACAGACCGTGGCTTCTGTCAAGGGGTGTGGAAGAGGTTTTACAGTGACTTCTGTGAGCCAGAGCTAAGTTTGATAAGTGGATCCATGTTTACCCCTGAAAGAATTTTCTACCAAGGTCATTGACATAAAAACCAAGAAAGAAAGAAGGATAAATAAGAGAAACCTGCAACTGTCCATTCCAATAAGCACTTTGTTTGTCCTTCTTGACCAATGAGTAAAGTGTAAACTTACGAGTTTTGTAAGAATATATAAAAAGCATGCATGCTATAATAAAAACAGTTTGAAGCCTTCTGAAAATGGAGTGTGTTGCTTTGTATAATCTCCATCTCAACTACAACAAAAAAGCATACTATTTGGTATATCCATTAATCCTTGCCCTACATTCAAGTGCTGAATGTCTATTTTGCATATCTAATCACAGAAGAAAGCCATCCTTCTGCAATCCCTCCTCACCTCTTTTCACATCTGAAAAGCTAGACAACAGCAACTGAGTAGAAGCAACTTCCTGTCTGTAGCAAGAAAAGGTGTTATTGCACTCTCTAGTTTTGTACTACAAAATATATGACCAGTCTATCTGAATTAAGCAAATAGGCATTACAATAAGATTTAGGCACCAGCTATGTATCACTTCTAATTTTACAAGGAACTTCAACATCTACATTTAAATCCAGGTAGGTGAAAAATCACTTCTCTTAGACATAACATACTTCAAGGATATTTTATATGTGGCTGTCCTACAAAACTATGGTGAAATAAATCACTTCTTCCAGAATCAATATTCCAAGTGATTAATTTAGTCTGGGGGAAAAAAAAAATCTCAAGCTGAAAGCATGCTGATTGAGCCTCCAGCTATTTGTAACAAAAGTTTCTAAAACTATCTGCTGAGTAACAATTGAAAATGCTTTTAGTGAGATTAAATCAGTGCATATAACATACATGGGTAATGCAAGAGAGTGGTACAGGACATCACTGTCACTGTGCAGGGAAGAGCCCTAGATGAACAGGCTACAACTGAAGCCAGGTCCACAAGACACTCAAGCAATTAATCCTTACTTCAGTATTTGGTACATGTGGTGGTATAACTGAAACGTAAACTTTAAGGCATTTAGAGATTTTGAGGAGCTAAGATTTTAGTTAGAAATAAGCCTTAATAGAGTTAATTAAAATAATGATAATAAATGAGTAGGCCTTGATGAAGTTAGGAGTTAGTAGTTAACTAATAATTAATTGCTTGTCAGCACAATGTTTAGTTAGCTGGGTTTATAATGAAGAATACAGAAACTGACAAATAGCTTTTAGGAACATAAGACAATTGTGGGCCTCCTCTGTTCTGAAACCAGTTGAAGACAAGGAATGGGAGTTCTACCAAGAGTTCATTTGTCATACTTGCATTGAAAAGGTAGAAAGGTCAGAACGAGGAAGACTTCATTTACTTCCTCATTTTGGGACCCCTCCCCATGAAAGGGACTACTGACCCCTTTCAAGGAACAAACTACGCATGCTTAATAGCTTTTGGAGTGATTAGCATACGAAGCGAGGAATGGGATGTACTAAAGTGATGAATATGTATTTGTATTTTGTGTATTCAATACTTGTATGGATAAAAAGACTCTGTAATCACCTGGAAGGTGTGGTGTGTATTTGGGAGCTATCCCGCACGCTGCCCGGCGTCGAATAAACATACACTTTCTAACTTTAAATTGTTAGAGAGTTTTTGTCCATCACAGTTGGATATCAATACTAGATCAATATCCATATTTTTTAATAAATCATAACCTTGCCTTGAAACAAATGAAAGAACCTGAGCTGTACACATAGTAGTTTTTCACAGAAGATTA